TCCCCCCTCCTCCTCGTCGCCCCTCCCTCCCCTCCTCCACCCGCCTGCCTCCCTGCCTCCCTGCCTCCCTGTCCTCCCTCCCTCCCTCCTCCTGCCTCCTCGTCCCTCTTCCCCCCCTCGTCGCTCTCTCCTCCCTATTCCTCCCTCCCTCCGCACTCCTCCTCCCTCCCTCCTCGCTTAACTCCCCTCCCTCCCCTCCCTCCCTCCCTCCCTTCTCCCTCCTTCTCCTCCTCCTCCTCCTCTCCTCCTCCTCCTCCTCCCCCTCCTCCTCCTCCTCCCTGTCCCTCCTCCTCCTCCTCCGCCCCCTCCTCCTCACGCTCACCCTCCCCGTTCTCCTCCCTGTCCTCCTCCTCTCCTCCTCCTCCTCCTCCTCCTCCTCCTCTCTTCTCCCTCCTCCTCTTCCTCTCTTCTCCCTCCTCCCCCGCGTTCCTCCCTCCTCCTCCCTCCTCTCTCCCTTCTCCTCCTCTTCCTCCCTTCCGTGCTGTTTTCCTTCCTGGGGTTGTGGGTGCCACCGAATTTTAGGAATGTGGCAAATCCAATGGGTTTTGCGATTCTGACACCGCCGATCTGCGTGAGGGGGGTTACCGAATTTGAGAAATGTGGCAAATCCCAAGGACTTTCCGATCCTGACCCCAGCGATCTGCGTGGGGGTTGTTACCGAATTTGAAAAATGGTGCACATCCCATGGGTTTTCCGACCCTGACCCCGCCGATCTTCGTGAGGGATGCTGCCTAATTTCAAACATATGGTACATCCCATTGGTTTTTCGACCCTGACCCCGGCGATCTGCGTGAGGGGTGCCACCGAATTTTAGAAATGTGGCAAATCCCATGTGTTTTTAGACCCTGACCCTGTATCTGCGTGAGAGGTGCCGCCGAATTTTAGAAATGTAGCAAATCCAATTGGTTTTTCAACTCTGCCCCCGCCGATCTGCGTGCGGGGTGCCACCGAATTTGAGAAATATGGCAAATCCTATTTTTTTGTTTTATAGAAATGTAGCAAATCCAATTGGTTTTTCGACTCTGCCCCCGCCGATCTGCGTGCGGGGTGCCACCGAATTTGAGAAATATGGCAAATCCTATTGGTTTTTCGACCCTGACCCCGCCGATCTGCGTGAGAGGTGTCAATTTCGACCCCCCCAGAAATTCTGAGACCCCTTCCCGGGAGGTGCTAAGCAGGGCGGTTTTCGGCTCCCCCCTCGCGCGGTCTACAACAAGGAACAGTAAGCAACGAGAAGCAGAACTGTAACAGTGGAAGCTGGAAGCTGGAACTGGCGCAGGGAACAGCAAACCCTGAGCCTACAGCCTGGTGGCCCCACAAGGGGGCCGGCAGATTTCTGTCTATTTCTGGACATGTTTGGGGTCTGTTTTATTCTTCGCCCAAGCTCTGCTTGCAGGGAGCACGCGCCCGACCTGGCGCTGGTGCCCGCCCCCGCGCGCCGCCGGGCGCCGCTGCTCGCCCGCTGCCCCGCGGCCCGCCGCCGCCGCTGCTCCCCTGCGAGGGCCCCGCGCCTCCCCTGATGGGCGTGTTTTCCACCACCACCACCATAAGTTAGAGGGGGGGTCCTCCTCCTCCTCCTCCTCCTCCTCCTCCTCCTCCTCCTCCTCCTCCTCCTCCTCCTCCTCCTTCCCCCCTCCAACTAATGGTGGTGGTGGTGGTGGAAAACAGGCTCATCATCCCCCGCGTGTCGGGAGTCGGGCCTGTCCCTCGACAGGAGGAGTATCCAAAGATGGTCCAAGAACAGCCTGGGGACGATTTTGCCATCCTTCTTCTGCATATGTTTGGACTGCTCTTTATTCTTCGCCCGAAATCCGCCAGTAGGGAGGGGGACATGCCCGACCTAGCGCTTGTCGCCTGCCCGGCCCCGCGGAGCGTCCCCAGGGTGCCTCGGCCGAGCCTGGCGGCAGTGCGTTCCGTCGGGGCGCGCGTTCGCCAAGCGTGCGAGCAGCCTCTCGGCCCCCCACCGCGTGCGCCCGAAGCACGTTTTTTTTTTTTGTGTGTGTGTGTGTGTGTGTGTGTGTTTGGTTTTGTTGTTGTTGTTGTTGGTGGTGGTGGTGGTGTTGGTGTTGGTGTTGTTGTTATTGTTGTTGTTGTTGTTGCTGTTGCTGTTGTTGTTGTTGTTGTTGTTGTCGTTGTTGTTGTCGTTGTCGTTGTCGTTGTCGTTGTCGTTGTCGTTGTCGTTGTCGTTGTTGTTGTTGTTGTTGTTGTTGTTGTTGTTGTTGTTGTTGTTGTTGTTGTTGTTGTGTGTGTGCGCGTGTGTGTGCGTGTGTGTGTGCGCGCGCGTGTGTGTGTGTGTGTGTGTGTGCGTATGCTTGGGCTTGCGTGCGTGCGTGCGTGCGTGCGTGCGTGCATGTGTGTGCGTGAATGTGTGTGTGTGTGTGTGCGTGCGCGCGTGTGTGTGTGTGTGTGTGTTTGTGTGCGTGTGTGCGTGTTGGTTTGTATTTGTGTCTATATAAGAGTGTGCGTGTGCGCGTGCGTGTTTGCGTGTGCGTGTGTGTGCGTGTATGTCAGCACCACCCCCTGCATTTTACACTATGCGACGTTTCGTATACTATGCCTTCGACAATGCTCGATCACACTTTGCACCTCCATCTGCTGCCAGTGCTTGTGGACCCTCTGCGCCGCCGCCTTAAACAAACACATGTGTTTATGTGTGAGGCTGGAGGCGCGCGCGCACTTGCCGATCTCAACCTTCTACTACGCCTTGACGCTGCGCGCGAGGCCGCGACGCCAAAAAGTGTGTGTGTGTGCGTGTTGGGCGCCACCCTGTACCGCCTGCCCTTACCCAGGACCACACGATGGTTGCAGCCTCCTTGAACTGAGATTCGTGGCATTTGTTTTTGCAAACGCGCCCCGCCAACACATCACCCGCCAGTGATATTTCACCACGGCGTCGGAGTGAAGAACGCGCGCGCGTTTGTTTGTGTATGTGCATACGTGAAATCCACCGCCTGGTCACTGATTGGATGCTCCGCGCCGAAGGTCCCAACGGCGTGTATGGCGCCGCGGAGGGATTCGCGACCCTGACGGTGTTCCTGGTCTCGCTGTGGTCCTTGGTCTCTTTTGTCACGAGGACGCTGGTTTGGGCCGCCGCTGCTGCTACAGATGCCAACGAGTGTGTGTTCTTCCTCGTCGCCTTGTTGTATAATGTTCGTGCCTCTTCCTCTTCCGCTTCCTCCTGCTCCGGCTCCTCGGCGCCCCCCTGCCTTATACCTGGCCTTTCACCTGCCGCGCGGCCGAGCGCAAGGGGCCTCAGTCATGACGGATCGCCGACGAGATTGTGAAGGCTTGGCGGCCCAGGCCGAGGGGGAGAGGACCCAGAGAAAGAGGAGGAAGAGGAGAAGGAGGAGGAGGAGGAGGAGGAGGAGGAGGAGGAGGAGGAGGAGGAGGGAGAGGAGGAGGAGGAGGGGGAGGAGGAGGAGGAGGAGGAGGGGGGGGAGCGGCGACGGGCCCAGGGAAGGCGGTGGCCGCAGGGAGAGGAGCCGGCAGAGACGACGACGAGCGAGTGACGAAGCGGACGACCCGAACGGACAAGCCCTGCACACGCACGCAGGCAGGATCGGCGGATTCTGGCGGTCGGGTTTCTCGGCTGCAGGATGAGGTGTGAAGAATGAAGCACGGGTGGACCGCGCATGGGAATATGCAGCCCCAGGTGCTCGAAACAATGGCGCAGGATGTAAAAGCACGTGAGCGTTTTTTATTCATTCTTTTGCCGATCGGCGCGGGCCCTCGCACCCCCCCCCCCTTTCCCTGGAGCAGATCTTGGCTGTTTGGGCCGCCTGTTTCGAGCAGGTGGGGCCTCCCCCATAATGGGCGCCCTGCTGCAAACAGCCGCACCGAGCAGACGTCCAGAACCAGACCCCCCCCCTTTCGCCCAGCCGATCCGATTCGATTCGATGTCGACCCTGGCTTGCTGGGCCTGTTTTCCACCACCACCACCATAAGTTGGAGGAGGGAAGGAGGTGGAGGACGAGGAGGAGGAGGACCAAGAGGAGGAGGAGGAGGAGGAGAAGGAGGAGGAGGAGGAAGAAGAGGAGGACCCCCTCCCCCTCCAACTTATGGTGGTGGTGGTGTAAAACAGGCCCATCACTGGCTGGCTGCGATCCGGATTCCGAGATCCCGGCCCCGACGTTCGCATGAGAGCCTTGCTGCGCAATCTCGGCGCGGCCGATCCGGGCCGACGCCGGCCCCGTGCCCGCGCGGCCCGACCCGAGGCACGCTGCAGCTCGATCCGATCGATCTCGTGATCCGATGCCGATGGGCCCTCTCCTCGACATCTCGAGCCTCCTCCAGTCTTCTTCCCTCCTCGACTCTCGATCCTCCTGCTCGGTCCTCCTCCTCCTCCTCCTCCACGCCCAGCGTTGCTCGGGCTCTCCCTTCGCAGGAGCGCCCGCGCCCCTGCCCGTCCCCGCGCCCTCGCCGCCCTTTTTCTGCTGCCGCTGTGGTTGGCCCACGCCTGATAGGATCCGGCCTGCACCAGGAGCACCTACTTTTCAGTCGGGCCTGTCCCTCTACCGGGAGGAGATTCAGAAACAGTAAAATCACTGTCTGGGGACGGTTTTTTGAATCTGTTTTGGCATCTTTTGGGCATGTGTTGAGTATTTTTTAATTTGTCGTCCAAAATCCCCTTGTAGGGGGGCAGGCCCGACCTAAACTTGCTTTTCAAAAGGGGCTCGGTCGTTCCTTTGGTTTGAATGAGTTCCGCTACCTTTTTGGCGGCGAGCCCCCTGGTGTTCCTTCAGATTTTGGACGTGCGGGTTCGTTTTGTCGATGAGGGCGGCTGGTCGAAGGAACGGGGTTCCAAGAGGGGCCCCGTTCCTTGCGCTTGCTCGACGTAGTGCGACGGCGGTCGCGCACAAGCCCGGCGCCTCTGTCTGGCCCTCCCGTTCTTTGCGGGGCGCGCGTTGGAGCTTTCGCCCTCATCTGCGTGCCAAGGTAAGGGCATTAAGGTCCAATTCTTCGCTGGAGCACCTCCCGTTCCTTAGGCCGCGCGGGTCGGAGCTCACGCGAGCCACTGGCGTTCCTGGCGCGGTGCGAGTTGGGGCTCACGTGCGCAACCGAATCGGAAAGTGGGTAGTTTGGCAGAAGCGGCGGGGTTCGAATCGCAAAAGCAAATCGTGGCGGCACGCCGCTAGAGAGGGGCTAGGCCGGTCTTTCGGACTTCGTAGAGCTACTTGGAAATATGGGGTTTCGTTCTTTATCCATTCTTCCTTATATCAGGCAGGGTCCTGTATCGTTGAGTCGAGCATGTCCTCCTACAGGAGGAATATTCAAATTACACCAGAGACAAACCCCAATCAGTGGATGGGTTGGGAATCGTGAGACCGATAATTCGTGAAGTTGCTTCAATAGGATCGATCATGAGATCGATTGTGAGATCGGTCGTGCGATGTAAAGTGATATGGATTTTGAGATCGATAGTGAGATCGACTGTGAAATCGACAGTGAGATCGATAGGGAGGCGGGTAATGAGATCGATGGTGGGACGGATCGATAAGAAGATCGACCAAGAACCCGGGAACCTGGGAACCCCGCCGCCCACTGGCATCGGCCCGGAACCAGGAACCCGGGAACCCGGGAACCCGGGAACCCGGCCGCCCACAGAAATCGGCCCGGAGCTTTCGCCAAATTCTTCAACTTCCGCTAGGACCCATTCAGTGCAAACACTGATTGGGGGAAATAGACAAAAATTACACCAGAGAAAAACCCCAATCAGTGGATGTTTTGAAAATCGGTGATACGGATATTATTGGGATCGATTGTGAGATCGATAATGAGATCGGTGGTGCAATCGAAAGCGAGGACTATCCTGAGGTCGATTGTGCGACTGGTACTGAAGTCGGTTCAATGAGATCGATCGTGACATCGATCGTGAGACCGCTCGTGCGATCTATAGTGAAATCGATTGTGATATCCATAATGAGACTGATTGTGAGATGGATGAAGAGGTGTTGCCAAATTCTTCAATTATTGAATGTTATCCGCTAAGACCCCTTGAGTGCAAGCACTGATTGGGGGATAGTCAAGGGGCGATGTTTCCACATATATAGATATATACATACATGGCTGCCACTTCGGCCCAAGCGAAGCAGCAGGCAGCGTTCAGAAGGCCCCGTAGACACTCGCGCCTTCCTGCTACCCTCCACCCGCCTCCGAAGAGTGAATGCAAGCCGTGGAGGGGGTCAATGAGGTTTCTCTTACGAGTGGCGGTTTACAACCCATTGTCTCTTATTCAGACTTCCCGCCTAGAGGAGATCGCAAAGGTGATGGACGTTGATCTGCTGATATTGAATGGCACGAGGGTCCGAGAGTGGCAGGATCGACTTTATCATGTGCAGAACTTACTTGAGCGACGGACAGCGATTCATTTTGGATGGAAGCGGTCACCATATGTGACGAATTGTGCGGGCACATGCATCGTGATGGGACGACGGCTCAGACGGCAACATATCGTAGCAATTCAGCCTGGACCAAAGGGATTGGAAGGACGAGCAGGAGATGTACGGATCAGATCGGGTTCTTTCGACATAATGGCGATATCGGGCTACCCTCCACCCTTGTACGAGACGGGCACCGCGAAGAAGGCACAGATGAAGAGCATCAGTATGACGATGGACTACATTCAACAGCACATTTCGAGCACGCCCTCACGATGTACACCAATTGGAGGATTTGATATTAATTCAGGATTTGGGTTGGAGCAGACCTCGGACACCAAGTGCGACCCAGATGCATGCAATTTTGGAACTTATCACTTGAAGAAAAGCGGACAAGCAGGACAACGACTATATGATATTCTTTCCTCTTACGACATGGCTTGTTTGAACACTTATCACCCATCGGCAGGACCAACCTACTTTGGCGTGAACGGCGAGACCAGCACGATCGACGTGGTCATTATCCCGACAACCCTGCTAGATGGAGTGCAAACGTGCACGGTAGCCTGGCAGCGAGGACGGCAGTTGCAAATGATTCCAGACTCAAAACCTCGAGACCACCGACCCCTATGTTTTACGACCGGCTACGGGATGCCAACCTATGTTCATCACAACCCACATCCTCGCTGGGATTACACGATGGCACAAGCACTTCAGAGCGGCGTGGGTAGACTCGATTTTCATCGCGATCTAGATAACCGAATGGCAATCATAACAAATCAGCTAGCTGAGTACTTAGAGTTGGCCCACACGGATTATGACTACGACCTGTGGGCAAAAACCCTGCTCGAGACAGCCCAGGACCATTTTGGCGAACGAGGCAGTCGACCAGATCATGCAGAAGTAAAACAATGGCGTGACGTTAGGCTCGAGAAACTTCACGAACGACGGAAGTACCGAGATCATCTTGCCCACCAGCGGCAGGAGTACGGACAAGTTCAAGGATATCACGAAAAATACTTGGACTACCTGAAAGTGGAGATCCGAAGCCTTGCGTGTCAGATACGTCGTGCTTCAAGACAAGGGTATGCAGCATGCCGCAAACATCTCTACGAGGACCTTGTGGAATCCAGAAGACTAGGACGCGCAGCTGATGTACATCGTATTGCACGACAGTTGGCGGGGAAAGCAATGGGAGTTAAACGCATAATATATTGTCATTTACCAATCCACAAACCTTCTCTACCAGAACTGGAAGCACATATCGCTCAACCAGGACCAGACGGAGGCATGGGGGCAACGCGGATTGATTTGCAAAAGGAGATTAATGAGTTTTTGGCATCTCAGGCGGACGATTTTCTCAAAATGCGCAACAGGACGACGGAAGTGACAGCGGGCGTTCTATTTCAACAGCTCCTTTATCGCTTACGCAAAGCGAAGGAGTGCAGAAGCACAACTAAATGGAGCGTCCCCGTCGAGATCGCGCTGATGAGCCTGGGGCCCGCATATCTCTCCGAGTCACTGACGGCGCAGGGCGGAGTGGGGTATGGTTTGCCTTCTGAGGAGGCTGAAGGCATGAGTCTTTGAGCCCCCGAGAGCACTCGCAGCGCGCCGCCTGAGCCCCCTGGGCGCTCGGCGGCAGCGGTGCCGACTCTCGGGGGGGACGTCGACCAGGTGCCAGACCGCCCCCAATGCAATTTGTCAGAGCTACAGGAGTGGAAGACACAGCTATTGCAGTAAACACGGCAGCGGCACCCAGTATCGACGCCAGCTTGGTGGAGGCCACTTCAAATCAGATGGATATCTCTCAAGATCCCCAGGAACGAGCTCGGGCAAACCTGGGCGACTCGGAGGCGGACCCTTTCGAATTCCTCGACATGGATGACGACCCCCTCGCAGACCACGACGACCTACAATGGGGGGAGTCTCTGCGTCCTACTCAGGTTTCGCCTCCCGCCAGACGCCGAGGAAGTTAGCTGGGCTTGTGGGGGAAGTCTCGGGAATGCTCAACGCCAAGGCCAGTCCTTGGACAGTCTCGACCGCCGCGCTAGCAGGCCCAGCGGGTCAACAGGTGGCGGGGCCCCAAATTGGCGATCAGAACGCACCCCCCAGCCTGAGAATGAGAGAGGCCGCGCAAGAGACGGACGCCAGAACGTCATGTAATTTGCATCGGCGTATACAAAGGCTCGCTCACACTTCGTGGAGATCTTGATACACTGCTTGCGGGCCAATCAGCTACCGACGAAGAGCAGCATCACGGAGGGCGTCCTTCTCGACAAGCGGAATCAGAAGCACAGGATGCATAATCAGCGCATCATTCACCTGTCCGACACGATATGGAAGAGTTTCTATGGCGTGACCTACGGCTGGGGGGACAACAAGGAAGCATGGACAAACACCATGCCAAGCCACTGGCACGGATTCCTAGCACATCGACGACGTGAGGGGGCAATCTTGGTTCAGAGACGCACTGGATGGTCACTTAGACGGCAGAAGGAAGCAGCACCACATCAATGAGCTACACGACCTTTCCAACGCATTTCTTTGCCATCGCACAGGGGATTTTCTCCGCATTTCACATCGGCTCGTTCGAGAAGACTTGCACGCTCTAGCACGTCAGAGATTGGTGAACAGCATCGTACTCATCCTAGGGGGCGACAAAGAGGAAGCCTTTCTACTGCGCAACGGGGGCCTACAAGGTTCAAGCGAGGCGCCGAAGCAGTTCGCTGGAGTTTATCATGCTTGTATCTCAGACTGGCGAAATATTACACAGGACCCCGTAGTCATGCATGGCGAGATCGAGGGCTTTCACCAGGCCGTATCCCTCTTGGGTATCGCGGATGATCTACTGAAGAAACGACTATTCCCGTCAGGCAAGGCCGAGGATGCAATGGAGATAGTTCAATCGGGCGACAAGCAGTTCGATTATATACTCAAGCATTGGCATTTTGCATTGAATAAATCAAAACAAGGACATCGTCCCAGCTCTCGGATCGCATATCGAGAATCGGAAGCTCCAGGAAATATGCCCCTCTTTTCAGGGACAGGTAGTTCCAGATGCACGACGCTTGGGAGCTAGATACACGACGGCGGCCAGCAATCAGTTAGAGGTCTCGATCCGTATCCGGTCTATGACAGTGGGCGGGTGTCAACTTGGGAAGTTCTGGAATGAAAGAGGGCTCTGGAAGCTCAAACGAGAAATGTTCTTGGGGGAGGTGCTGGAGGCTGGAGTTTCAGGGCTCGAAGCGTTCGTTTTGACGAAAACCGAAAAAAAGCTGGGCTCCCATTCGGTAAAATACCTCCGCGCCCTTATGCAAGGCAGAGCTAAGACGGTACACGCGGACGCACACATGACCGCCATGAGTAACGCCGAGGTTTTTAAGCATCGGAAGATACTCCCAGTAAGAGCAGAGCTTGCGGTCAGAAGAATTAAATGGTTGCAGTCGATGTGTCGTCACCGCGTTGCACACCGACAAACTCTGGTCGCTATCTTTGGACGCGGGAAGTTAGAAGCTAAAGCGAACCCATGGGCCCATCAGTTCGCTCGGGACTTGAACCTCTTCAGGGGCAGCAGTGGCACCGAGACCTTGCGGGAGACCGGGGCCCTATCAAACGAATCGTGGAAGGACTTCCTCACCCCGAACTCCGAAGCCGAACGAGAATTTCTACGAGTCGATCCAGCTATCCTAAGAGCAGCAGCCCATGCCCCAGGAAGCAGCATATGGACCCGTTTCTATGACCAACCGAGCGACATGATAGACGCGAACCCCACATAATACACATGCGAACTTATCGATCACGAAACTGGGACGAGTTGCGATCAGACTTTCCCCAGCTATCGACAGCTTACTACCCATCAAGCAGCTAGACATAAACTTCGCTTCGCGATCCCGAGCAGCGTGATCACGGACCAGTGCCCGACCTGTTACACGGTTTTGAAAAGCAAGTTGTGCACAAAATCATCTGGTCTTTGCTTATGTCCAGGGCCGATGCAAAAGGGGAAGGAATACTATGAAATGGCCACTACAAATGGTTTCTGATCTAACATGTTCAATGTGTGACGCAGCCTTTTCGGACCTGGCCGCCTTTTACGAACGCCATCGGTGGTCTCATTTACCGACGCCACGCCCGATCTTGGATTATGCCAGCTCTCCTACAGACAAGCAACCTAGACGCGCCGATGGATGGGGGATTTCAGCGGAGCCAGCGCCAACGCACACAGGAGGACGATGCCGAAGGAAAAAAGAAGACCATGGAGGCGGCAAAAACCTGACTCCCACGCCACGCCAAGATGCTGATGTGCCTGATCGTCAAACAGCTCCTTCGGTGCGCACAGCAGAGCAGGGACATGAGCAGCGTGATTCTCGACACTCTTATCCTCAGGAGCAACGGCCCGATTATCCTTCGCATCCAGGAGCAGGCGGCGGCGTACGGAAAAATAACAAAGCAGAAAGGGACAACCGCGACATGGGCCCACCACAGATATTCGCGATGGGAGGACTACTGGCAGCGGTATTGGCTCTGGCTTTGGACGACCCTTTGAAGCAGGTGGTGCAAAAGATGTACACGGACTACGACAGCTACAACGGCGAGCAGCAGTCAGAATTGGTTCTCTTTTGCAAGGTAGATCGTATGTACGAGAAGGAGAAGAAGCGCTTCGCGCTGGCAGTGAGGGACACGCAGTTTCGCAACCACTTAATGGAAGCGCTCAAGGCGACGGGGGCGAAGCGCAAGTACGGGAGAGCGCCAGCCACACACAGGGGGAGGGAGCTACAGGAATGGGTGGAACAGCTATTGCAGTAAACTCCGACTGGGGTGGCAGCGGCGACAAGTACGACACCAGCAGAATGGAGGCTACTTCAAATCTGATGGATATCTCGTCTTCCAGCCGCGCGCGATCATCTTCGGTAAGACCGACGGCTACCGCTGAGGAGCGCCCTCCTCCTCCTCCCCCCCCCCCGTGTCGGACCTGAGGATGATAGCTATGTAGTTGGCTTATCGGGGCGTTTTCCCAGGTAGCCGTGTTTGACAATATGGTTTCGAGCACGCGAGTTATAGAGCAGGCCCGACAATGGTATCGAGCTCAGAAGTAACGGCCCCCCCTTGATTTTACCCCCTCGGCTTCTTCACACGTCAGAGGTCGTGGGTCTCAGGCGAGGGCTTTTGTAAGCCCGTTGGCAACCGAGGCCGTCGCATAGGGTGGAGGCCGCACGACCGCCGCGAGCATGGACATTGCTTCGAGTTTAATGAATGAGTTTCGAGCCGAACTTTTTGCTGCCAAGCTGATCTCGCTCAGACATCGGAGCCAACGATGTGAATGAATGAAAATGAATATGTACATACATACATACATACATACATACATACATATATATTTGGTCGTTTTTAGAATATGTGCTGGGCTATTTGTCATTTTTCTTCCAAAAGCCGCCTGTGCGAGGACATGCCCGACCTAAGACTATCGTCTCTCTCGTCTTGGTCTTGACCGCCCGCGTTTTCCCTCCTTCTTGGCGGTTGGCCCCCCTTCTCCACATCGGCCTTCGATACACGATCCTCTTCCTCCTGCCCCTCATAGATCATCCTCTTCTCTGCGTTAGACAAACACAAGCAACGAGGCCGTTGCCGCATTTTTTGAAACAAAGGGTCAGAGAGTGCACGATGACATTGGGCAGACCGTACAAGCGCCTGAGTGTAGACTACGCGGTGCAGGAGGCGCGAAGAGAAGCGGATAACTAGAGAAGGCCCGCGAGGGCATAGAGTATTGAATCTGCAGGTGTCGGCAAGGTCGATCCTCCTCCTCCCCCTCCTCGGTCCTTGATCCTCCTCCTCCTCCTCTTCCTCGATCCTCCTCCTTCTCCCCCTCCTCGATCCTCCTCCGACTCCTCCTCGATCCTCCTCCGCCTTCTCCTTGTCTTCGCCCCTCCTCGATCGATGCTGGCGGCGGGGTCGGCCCCGCCCTGCCGGGCAGAGGGCGCGCGGCCTGCCGGCGGGGCCCCTGAGCCTGCTCGGCGCGGCGCAGCTCGGCTCGTACCTCGCCGTGCTCGCCTTCGCGGGGGCCCCATGGAGGGCGAGGGGGCACTCTCGTCGGGCGGGTGGTCACCTCCAGACGCCCTCGCGCTGTGCACAAAACACGACGGCAGGCCTTTCGCTCTCTTCGGCACCTGGGGGCCCTTGCCCGGCCCTCGGGGGACCGTCAAAAACGGCTCAGGATGAGAAACAGGTCCCGGGGAGAGGGTCTGGACTTCTGGGGGTCGCGTTAGGAAGATATCATGACGTCGGGGGTTTGGGAACGGGGGGTGACCTAAATTCCATGAGATCCTGGCGTGGCATTTGTTTCGCACCGCGCGTTTTCGCTCCATGTCGAGCCCCCGGGCCCTCACAGATCGATTCGGCTCGGAACATGAGGCAGGACGATGTGTTCCGGGTTCTGGTCTTGATTTTTGCGATGTCGCATTTTTTGCAGCGTCGGATCTCAGGGTCGGGCGGGTGGTAATGGGAGGAGACCTTGATTGAGGGGTGAAGCAAAAGGCCTCAAAGGGAGCCTTGCGGGCCCTTACCTTCCATTTAGGTCGCCCCCCATTGCCACCCGCCCGATCTCTGTGGCTCCAGGCCTTTGCTTGTGAACTCCATGTTCATGCATCTTCGGAGGACGGTGAGGTTCCTCTCGTCTGTTCCTGGTCTGCCGACGGACCCCTGGGCCGCTGGATTCCAAGGGAGAGCGCATCGAGTCTTGCACGCATCGTCAGATGTGAGCCCTGTGCACCTGCTGCTCCCTGGGCTGAGGTACCCGAGCTGTCCTTGAGCGTGGCGCAGCTCACGTTCATCCGCCTACAACTCATTGCAAACAAGCTCCCATGTACACAACACAATGAAGACGATGTGTAATGGGTGGACGAGTATGAGGTACCACGGAGGCACGTTAGGATGTATGTGGGGATGCCAAAAGATAGGTGGAGACGCTCTGGACCACTACGTGGTCTGTCCGAGGATCTTTCCCAGTGTGAGGGCCCTCTTTTCCCCCTCTTGAATCCTGGCTGGGGTGGCGGTCTGTTTTTCGAGCATTTTTAGGATGCACCCCGATCGCTGCGAATACTGAGCTGTGTTCTGCCGTTGTGGCCCTTTGACTTGTTGCTCAGCACGCATCAGAGCACGAGAGGCAAAGGCTTCCGTGGGGCCGCCGGAGCCGCTGAGCTACCATGAGAGCGCGTGCGCGTGCAATGTCCAGGCTGAATGCGGATGTGGTGGGGGCTCTGCACGGGAGCCAACCTCGTGGGGTAGTGTGGGGCCTTGCGCCTTTCCTCGCTGCTGCTGCAGGCCTGCCTTCCCACCCTGCTGGGAGTGGCGCCCCTCCTCCTCCTCCTCCTCCTCCTCCTCCTCTTCTTCTCCCGTTGTCGTCGCCGTCAACGTCCTCCTCCTCTTCATTCTCCTTCTCCTCCTCGCCAGCAGCCTGCGAGCCAACACCGGCAGGGGCCGCACAGGAGGGCGGGGCGACAGGCCACCGGGGCACGTGCTGGGACAACGCTCCCATACGGTCGGACCGAGGTGTCAAGATCGAGGTGGGTTCGGGGAGGGTGCCCTAATATGTTCTTGGTGCTCGCTGGACGTTGTTGTGCATCCTGGGGTTTGGTGGCAAATCACGGGAGCTATACCCTCTTACTGCCGTCTTTGGCGTCGATTAGCGGATTGGCGTCGATTCGCGTATGGGAGTCAAGGAGATAGCGCCGATGTAGCGCTGACTAGCGTCGATTAGAGTCCATTTAGCGTCGATTGGCGTCGATTTAGCGTCGACTGGCGTCGATTCGCAGGAGCCGACAAGATGGTATGGGAGGCTGCCATGATTTGCCATCGAACTTGGGCTGGCGGAGGGTTTCATGTTCTCGAAGCATGTTCTTCTGTCCTGGGTCCGGCTGTGTACCCTTTTGCGTGCACATCGTCAGCAGCCAGTTTGGCCCAGGAAGGTCCCGCAAGGGACGCACCGTTGGCCCGATGCTGACGAACATGTGCATCGACGTGCCTCGATCGTCCCGCCGCTTGAGTGCCGTTCCCTGATCGGCTCGGCGTGCCCTGATCGTCCCGCCGGAGTGTCGTACCCTGATCAGGGCGGACAGGAATGCGCGACGCGGCCGCGGCCGCAAATGAGCTCCGCGGTCTCTTGCCCTTCGCGCCCCCCCACGGTGTTTGATGGGCCGATCTTCCACCATCACTACCACATATAGAAGAGGGAGCAGGAAGAGGAGGAGAAGGAGGAGGAGGAGGAGAAGTGAGGAGGGAGGAGGAGGCATGGAGGAGGGAGGAGGAGGGAGGAGGAGGAGAAGGAGGAGAAGAAGGAGGAAGAGGAGAAGGAGGAGGAGGAGGAGGAGGAGGAGGAGGAGGAGGAGGACCTCTCAATCCTCCCCTCTCCCCCGTCCGACCTGTGCCAGTGGTGGTGGGAAATCGGCACATCAGTGTTCGTTCGATCCGACGCCGCTATCGCAATGGTCGTCGGGCCCTCGGCCGTCCGCCCAGAGAGAGCTCGGCGCGCTCGGCAGAGCGCGCTGAGGCCGGGGCGACCTACCTCACGACGGGCGATATGGCGAAGTCGAACCCGTTCAAGGGTGCGACGCCCGACCAGATCGTCACCAAGGCGCCCGGGGGTCCCAAGGCGGCGATCTCTCTGGGCGTTGCGTAATGGGGGGGTCATACATGGGGGGGTGGCGAGGGTGGTCCGAAAAGGTACCCAAACGGTACCTAAACGAGCCCCCTGGGGCTCCGGAGGGGCCCGAAAGGGGCACGAAAGGGGACCGTTTCTGACCCCCCCATTGATGACCCCCCCGTTAAGCCACGCCCAATCTCTCCGCACCCCGCCGCCTGGGATCCATCCTCGGGGGGCCTCGGCCGGCGGCGGATGCACGCGTAGTCCCTGCGGGCCCTGCCGGGGGCAGGGCCAGCCACATCTACCGCCCGCCGAGGTCCACGAGGACGGAGTCCCAAGGGCCCCAGGCGGCAGTTCTGGAGAGGTGCCCGCCTGCCACCGGGTGGGTCGCGTTGGACGGCAGGTGGGCACCAGGGCGAGGGGGGGGGTGCGAGATCTGCTGCGCGCGGCTGGTGTAGGCTCCGCTGCCGGGCGCACTCCTCGATACACGACTTGGCGGCGCCCTGAGACGGCGGATGGGCCTCTCAGAAGGCAGGAGCTTTCTTGTCGGGCGCTGGCGGCTTCTAAGGGAGGCTTCTTGGAGGCCGCCCCCACTAGAGCCAAGCCCTTGTGGGCGCCGCCAGACATGGGCGCCTCCGGCGCCAGAACGAAAACAGCTGCCTGAGCTGACTCGCTGCTTGTGTGCTCCCCCTCTGCTATCCCTCCTTCGTTCGCCACATGGGGAGGATCAAATCCAGGCCTCCGACTGGTGCTGGCAAGGGACAAAGGCAGACCATGCGTTTTTCTCCGGCCGGTTCGTGGGAGCTCTGGGGGCCCACGCGCTGCGCAAAGCAGTAGATTTAGGTCTAGCATGTCTCCCTACAGGAGGATTTTCGAGGAATAATTAGAAATAGCCCAAACATATTCAAACATAGTCAAACATAGTCGAAAACTCGTCTCTGGAGCATTTTTCCGCATTTTTTAGTATTCCTCCTGTAGAGGGACACGCCCGACTTAACAGTAGATCCGCTATTTCAGAGGCGAGAGGATCGAAGAAGGAAAACACCTAAACATAAACTTTTGGCGCTCCGCGCGGATTTCTTGGATCCGCGCTGGGCCCTCCCGGCGGCGCCTCTGGCGCCGCCCCTGGCGCGCTCCGCGCGCCAGGGCGGGGGGTACAGCGCGGATCCAAGAAATCCGCGCGGAGCGCCAAAAGTTTATGTTTACGTGGTTTCTTCTTCTTCTTCTTCGATAAGGAGGCATGCCGATACGGCAGTTTCGCGTCGTGTCGACGAGGCTGCGACCCCAGCGCGGGGCTCCAGCGGCCGTTCAGGACGATTGGGGCGCTTGGGACCCATCACCAGCCAGGAACATCTACCCTTAAGTCGGGCGTGTCCCTACAGGAGGAAAATTATAAAATTGTAGAAAATAGCCTAGGGACGATTATTATATTTTTGTGCCCATGTTGGAGTATTTTTTGTTTATTTCAATGTTTCGTCCAAAATCCCAGAATGTAGGAGGATACGCCCGACCTGAATCTCCCCCCACGGTTGAGCCACTTGGGGCGTTTTCGACCCATGATGGAGTGGCCTTTGGCCCATCCCGCCGCCGTGTCTTGGTGGCAGGTCAGAGGCCTCTTGGATGCCAGTGTGGGGTCTCTTGGGGGGCTTATCGGGAGCCTCTTTCGTTGGAGGCGGTTTTGGGATGTTATTGCAGTCTCGGGGGCTTCTTGGGGGCCTCGTGGGGTCTGGGGCCTTTTGAGGGCCTCCTCTGGCGGCCTGAAGACTCGACATGTAGGCTTGTGTTCTCTGTCTCGGGCCTCTCTTGGGCTGCTCTTTGGGCTCTCTTGGGGCGTCTAGGGGCCTTTGGGGCCGTCTTGGACCCCTTGTGCCGTCTGTGGGCCCTCTTGGGGGCCTGTTGGGCCGTCTTGGGGCGATCTTGGGGCCTCGTGGGCTGTCTAGGAGCGTCAAAAACGAGAACGCTAAAATTTGTTCAACGGCCATTGGGAAATCAGCGATTTTGGCCTCTCGGGGCCCTCTTAGCCCTCTCGGGGCGTCTTGGGGGCCTCTTGGGCCGTCTGGAGGCCACCTTGGGCGTCCTGTAGCGATCCTCGGGCGACTCGGGGCCCTCTTGGACCGTCTTTGAGGCCTCTTGGGGCCCTCGTGGGCCGTCGTGGGGCCTTTCCGAACAAATCATGCGGGGACATGCGGGGACCATCCTGGCATAGGGGACGCCCCGGAAATTATCATGGGGTTTTGGCCATCAATATTCAATCCTCAGGACTGAGGACGGAGAACTCGAGGACCTGAGGACACTGCAGCTCGTGCCTCAGGGCACGGTGGCGGAGAAGCAAGGGCACTTGTGACCCATTTGGGGCAATCTTAGGCCAGATATTATTCATTTGGCACCCATTGAAAATACCTTACCCCCTCATCGAAGAAGAAAAAGCCACACAAACATAAGTTTTTGGCGCTCCGCGCGGATTTCTTGGATCCGCGCTGGACCCCCTCCCTGGCGAGCGGAGCGCGCCAGGGGCAGCGCCGGAGGCGCCGCAAGGGGGGGGGGGCCCCAGCGCGGATGCAAGAAATCCGCGCGGAGCGCCAACAGTTTATGCTTATGTGGTTTTCGCTTCCTCTACCTCAGTGCCCCTCGCGGGGATCCACGCAGGGTCAGCGGCTTGCGGGCCACAGTTCGGGCCTCCAGCGGCCGCTCGGGACGAGCCGGGCACCCTCGGGACGCTCTCGGCGAGGCGCAGCTGCCGGAGCGCAGGCCGAGACTGGCAAGCCTGCGGGAGCCGACGCACACTCCGACGACGAAGACGGCCGGGATCGCTCCTGCGTGCAGGCCGTGATCCCCCCTGACCTTCTTCCAGGCCGCACCCTTCATGGGAGCGTTGTTTCCTTTGGTCCTGGGGCCCGAAGCTCTCAGACGCCTGGCGAAGTCTGGCAAATCCGTGGCTGCCAAAACGGAGCTCCGGGCAGTCTGTTTTTTTTCTTCCGGGAAGCAGCCAGTCTGTTGTTCAGTGGGCTGAGGCCGATGCCGAGAATTTGTCTTCTCCTGCCGGGGAGACTGTTTCCGCAGCCGCGGATTTGCCAGCCCTCGCCCAGCCTCCAGGAAGCGGCCCCCAGAGGACGACATGGCAGAGCGGAGGAGGAGGAGGAGGAGGAGGAGGAGGAGGAGGAGGAGGAGGGGGATGAGGAGGAGGAGGAGGAGGAGGCGGAGGAGGAGGAGGAGGAGGAGGAGGAGGAGGAGGAGGCGGAGGAGGAGGAGGCGGAGGAGGAGGAGGAGGAGACGCCGACGGCACAGACAATCAGATCGTCGGAGCTCTCGGCAGTCGCCTTCGGGCCGTGCCTCGGGCCTCCGGCGGCCGCTCGGGGCGACGGCGGGTGCCCCCTTCGGGCGCTCTCTCGGCGAGGCGCAGCTGCCGGAGCGCAGGCCGAGGCTGGAAGCTCTGCAGGAGCCGCCCGCAGGGTGGTCCGTCGGCCGAGGGGAGGAGCAGGATGGCCATGGCCACGATGCCGCGGGGTCTCGCCGACGCCGACTCCAGTCACGGTCCGTGCTGGCCGCCGCCGATTCGCGAGGGTGGTCCACGAACCGACGAGGAGCCAGATGGCGATGACCAGGATCGGCACCGACGTTCCCGCGAGCAGTCTTGGCCATGGTCGCCTGTCCTCCAGGCAATCACTGATCGTTGGCGAAAAAGACACCCGTATCCGCGGCCTCGCGGGCCCCTCAGCCGCGACCCCGCGGCTGCGGGGCGTGTCTTCGTGAATGCCCCGCGCGGGACTCGTCCGTGCGACCGCGTATTCGCGGGAACGCACCCTGGAGTCCAGACCGCGACGGCGCGGATACGGATACGTGCGCCGTTCGTGACTAGCTCGCGGGAGCGCCCAGAGATTTCTGGCAATGCCGAAGTCTGAGAGCACCTCTGAGGTCTGCAATCCTCCAGGCCTCCTAGAGGGGGTCCGAGCGGATAGGGTCAGCGGACCGCGCCGAATCGCCGATGCGGCTCGATATGTTCGCCGCTCGCGAAAGACGCCCTCGGCCACCCTTGCGTGTTACTCGGCGGTGAGCCTGGGAGGGGAAGTGAGAGGGGGCGGGCCCTCTCAGAAGGCTCGGACGTCCCCCAGCATTCCAAGAAGTCTTCTAAGCCTCCCGCGAAGACACATATAACATTTCTCAGAGAGCCGGCAGGCTTCCGAGAAGCTCCGCCGCATTCGGAGAAGGCCTTCTCCATCCCACTTCCCCCCCTGCGCTCGCCGCAGAGTGTAGCCTCAAGACGGCCCCGACGTGGCACATCCTAATCGGGGGGACCGCTTCGCTTTTGCATGGCAGCGCCTCGATGCCAGTTTTTCGTCTGCAGTCGGCCCGTCTAATAAGGATACGCGGTTCGGATGCATGGCCTTCTCCTTCTCCTTTTCCCTCTCGCTCGCTCGCCGCCGAATGCAGCAGAAGGCCCCCTCCGACACCGTCGGCCTGGCCTCCCGAGAGCCTAGGAGGAGGAGGAGGAGTAGGAGGAGGAGGAGGAGGAGGAGGAGCAGGAGGAGGAGGAGGAGGAGCAGGAGAAGGAGCAGGAGCAGGAGCAGGAGCAGGAGCAGTAGCAGGAGCAGGAGCAGGAGCATGACCAGGAGGAGCAGGAGGAGGATGAGGAGGAGGAACGGACGGAAGGAAGGAAGGAAGAAAGAAAGGAAAGAAGGACGGAATGAAGAGGAGGAGGAGGAGGAGGAGGAGGAGGAGGGAGGAGGAGGAGGAGGAGGAGAGGAGGAGGAGAGGAAGGGGAGGAGGAGGAGGAGGAGGAGGAGGAGGAGGAGGAGGAGGAGGAGGAGGAGGAGAAGGAAGAGGAGGAGGAGGAGGAGGGGGAGTAGAAGGAGGAGGAGGAGCGGGAGGAGGAGCAGAAGAAGGGTGAGGGGGCGAAGATGTGGAGCGGAACCAGTGTCGGATGCAAGTGCCTGTCCGCATTAAAGCGTGGCTCTCTGCTGCCGCCTGACAAGGTCGGACTTGCAAAGAGCCTG